TTTGGTTCACGGGTGCAGTTTTGGGCCAGCCAGCCCCTGCCTGGGCCCACCGCGGTGCCGTGAGTCCTTTGGTGCCGGGTCTCCCTTCCGCCGCTTCCCTGGCACTGTGGGGCGAGGGCTGGGGGCAGTGGGATGCTCCGGCTGGGTTTGCCGTCGTCGCTTCCGTAGTGGGACAGGACCCGAGGAGCTTCGTTTCCTCTTGGTGCGGTCGGGGAAGAGATCTTGGGGGAGGATAGCCACAGAGAAAAGGGGGTTCAGCAAAAAAAGGGGGGAAGGGGGGCACAGTGGTGGGGCTGACGGACGTGTCAGTGCGTTTACTTTGAACCGAGATCACGGGGAGCTCAAGGTTTTTGCATCATCAGCCACTGTCGGCGGGAGGGGATGGGGCGGGGGGACTCGGCGCCCTCCAGACTCACCTTTGTCCGGCTCCTCGCCCACCTCCTGCCGGTAATACTCGGCATCGCTCTCCTCCGACTGCTCAGCCGCATCCTGCTGCTCTGGCGCGCCAGGATCCTCGGCGTCACTGTCGCCATCCTGTTGCCATTTCCGCCGCATCCCTGCCAGGCTCTTCTCCCTGCGGTGCCACTGTCTCATCAGCCTCTGCCGGGCCGCTGCCAGACACCGCCGCTGCTGCGCTGCCCTCACCTGTGAGCCTCGCGCTGCCGTCGCTTGCGCTCCACGTCCGCCTCCTGCTTCTGCCGCCGCTCCGCCTTCAGCTGCAGCTTTGCCTCCTTCCGCGCCAGGATCTCCTTCACCTCTGATTCCACCTTGTGGACTTAAACACACGGGGAGAGGGGGGTGAGGTGCCCTGGCCCGAGCCCCTGCACCGGCCAGTTACCGGAGATGGCGTTTTTGCGGCACTTACTGAAGCTGTGGTAGAGCACATTGCCCTGCGCCAGGCCCTCCTCCACCTTGATGAGCTGCAGAGTCATGCGGGGTCCAATCTACGGGAAGGGGGGATGCGGAGAGCCCCGATCAGGCTTGGTAACATCCCTGGGGCGATGGCAACCGCGGCATCACCGCTGTCACAGACCTCGGTGAGGCGAACGGCGCTTTGCTGCGCTTTCATGTTCCCTCGGCCGGCATACGCCTGTGGCAGCTCCAGAACGTTGTGGGTCCCATCCTGCTCGGCCTCACTCTCCGACAGGTTTATGTCTCTGCCGGGGGAGAGGAATGCATTTGGGGACAGGCCGGAAGGCGCCTCCGGGACCGTTGCCCCCCTCCCCGTTCCCTCCACCACGCACTTCACCAGCAGCTCGCTGATGTCCTCCAGGCGGCTCATGTTGGGGAACTTCTCCTGCAGCAGCTTCTTCAGGCCTTTGCTCATGCCCACGGGCACGACCTTCACGCTGCTGTGAGGAGGAGGAGGAAGAGGTCAGTGCTGGGACACGGGGCGCGGGGCGTCCCCTAAAATCAGGGACACGACACTCACTAATGCCTGAAATTGAGGAGCTGCGTCTCCGTGTCATAGCTGATGAGCAAACACCTCTTGATGCTGTTGAGGTTGACCTATGGAAGGAGATTTCAGTTGGAAGGGACCTACAACGATCATCTCCTCCAACTGCCTGAGCAATTCAGGGCTGACCAAAAGTTAAAGCATGGTGTTAAGGGCATTGTCCAAATGCCTCTTAAACCCTGACAGGCTTGGGGCATCAGTAGCCTCTCCAGGAAGCCTGTTCCCGGGTTTGACCACCCTCTTGGTAAAGGCTTCCTAATGTCCCATCCAACCCTCCCCTGGTGCAGCTTTGAACCATTCCCACACGTCCTATTGCTGGATCCTCGGGAGAAGAGCTCAGCACCTCTGTCTCTACATCCCCTCCTGAGGGAGCTGTGCAATGTCGCTCCTCAGCCTCCTTTTCTCCAAACTAGACAAACCCAGAGTCCTCAGCTACTCCTTGGAGAATACTCCTTCCACCCCATCACCAGCTTTGCCCTCCTCTGGATGCACTCAAGGACCTTCCCTTCCTTTCTTAAACTGCGAGGCCCAGAGCTGCACATCGTACTCAAGCTGAGGCCGCAGCCGCGCTGAACACAGCGGGATAATCCCCTCTTTTCACCGGCTGGTCATGCTGTGGTCGATGCGCCCCAGGATGCGGTTTGCCCTCGCTGACTCTACCAGGTCTCTTTCTGCAGGGCTGCTCTCCAGCCCTTCCTCTCCCAATTTATTCTTATGCCTGGCGTTACTTCATCCTAAGTGCAGAATCCGGTATTTGGACTTTATAAATTTCATCCCATTAATCACAGCCCACTGCACCGATCTATGTCAATCCCTCTGCAAGGCCTCTCGTTCCTCAAGACAGTCAACACCACCTCTCACTTTGGGATCATCAACTCCAGATGGTTGATAAAATATATTGAACAGAACCGGTCAGAATTGAACCCCGAGGACAGGAGGAGGTGGGACAGGTGCTGAGCCGCCCCCCAGCAGCATGGGGAGACCCCTCAATCTTGCTTACCCGGTGGACGTTGATGGAGGGGAACATATTTTGGAACATGCTGGCCATCAACTTGACCTGGATCTGCTGGAGACCGAAATTGCTGAGGACCAGCAGTGGGTGGTGGGTGAACTGCTGCTCGTGCATGCGGTGTCGCTTGAGGGACGAGACCACGTCCTTGATCAGCGAGTACTGGAGATGGGGACACAGACACGAGGATGAGGAGGGGGTGAGACGCTGCCCTTTGCGCCGGCGGGGAAGTAAGCACCCACCTGCATCACCTTGAACGTCAGCGTTGGGCCACCGGGCAACCGGAAAAGCTTCTGCGGGGAGAGAAGCATTGTTCAGCGCCGGGGGAAGTCACCAGGGCTGACCCCCCTCACCTCGGCGCAGACGCATCAGTGCGTTTACTTTGGATAGAATCACAGTATGAACTCAGTGGTGTTTTGTCATCACCTGCATCTGCAAGGAGGGGGGAAACCTCCCCGAAAAGGCGAGGTGGCAAGGGGAGCACAGCTGCTGCGG